CGAGGCGGTGAACCTTTATGCCCCCCAGCTGCTCGTGGCTCTGCTTGTTCAAATTTTTGAAAGTACAGCAAATGGTACTGAGCAGGTCGACACCTTTTGGAAGCAATGCCAAAAGGAACACAACCTTCAAATAAACCCCAGCAGGTGCTCTATCTTAGTCCTCCTGTCCCTCCCATATCATCAGGGCAGGACCCAGAGCTCCCAGCATGATCTGACTTTGCTCTCCACATAGCTTTATAGTGCAGGCCATGAAGGCTCTGCTCCTCCGACTGCGGTGTGAGAATGTGGTCATGGAAATGGGACGCAAGCATGGCTGGGACACGCTCCTTTATGCTGACACCCAGCACTATGCCGTGGGTCTGCTGGGAAGGTGAGAGCCCCTTCTACCTGCTGCCCCATCATTTGTGCCCTGTGCCCGTAGTCTCACACAATCCCTATGGTCATGGCCCAGAGTTCCTCATCCCTGAGGGACGGCCAAGCAAACTGGAAAAGGCAGGGAGAGGAGGGTGCCCAAAAGGAGCTGCCTCCCGAAGTGCCCACATTCCCTCCAGGTGGTGGGCAAAGACCAGAACTCTGTGAGTCAGTCCTGGGAGAGGTTTACTCCCCCATCTCAGGGTCTCAGTGCCTTTTTCCCTCTGCCAGAGAGCTGCACCGTGACTTGACCCACACATGTTGCCGCATTGCTCTCCACCTCCTTGGGCTGCTCAGCAGGAAGGAACCACGCTGGGATCTGCCCTTTCTGGCATTCTTTGTGGAGGTGAGCCTGAAGGCCAGCGCTGCCYCRCTCAGCTGCCTCCCAGCTCTGCCCTCTCRTAGCCRCAGCYGCCTGGGACRYTGCCCGTGCCCTGTGCTGCTGCCTGGGCCCAGCCCTGTGCGGTTCCAAACTCCTGCTGGCCGGGTCCCCCGTCACTGTCCTGTGCCTTTCAGGTCCTTGACTGCCTGGACTTGAGTGAATATGGTGATGATGCCATGGAGATCATGTCAAGGCACCTGCGGAGCCCGTGCAGGGATAGAAATCGCCTGGCACTCAGAGGCTTCCTGGTGCTCATCAAGAATCGCTCAGTGGTGAGAAGGGGGCAGTGGCTGAAGCCACGCTGGCAGCATGGGGCTGGGGAAAGGAGCCCCTTGGGCTTGGCTGGGCTTTGGGAGCTGAGGCAGCTGCTCCCAGCTCTCCTACCTCGTGGTTCAACTGCCCGAGCACTTTTGGAAAAGCCTTGGGGTTCTGGGTTCTGTGGCAGCAGGGTTCTGCAGTGTTGCCAGGGTGGTGTTGGCGGTGCAGCCCTTCATGGCTTCACAGCACAGCATTGTGTTCCACACAGGCCAGAAGAATGGGCAGCCAGTCTCAAAGGCTTGTGGAGCTGCTGGGTGATGCAGATGGAGAGGTGGTTAGGACTACCCTCTCTGTTTTCATCAATGTGCTCCAGTACAAGGACATCCTTGTATCCAGCACCACCGCCCCGAAGCTGGCTAAGGCACTTCTGCCACTGTTTGACCATGTAAGGCTCTGTGCCCTCGGCTACAGGCACAAGCTGCTGCCTGGAAACTTTGTGCCCTGTGGATTTTTGGGCCTTTGCCCACGTGGGCCTGGAGAAGTTGGTGCCGAGTCTTTTCCTTTCCTCCAGGACAACAGCTATGTGCAGCAGCTCTCCATTCAACTTTTTCAAAAGGAGATGGAGTCGGTACAGGAAGAAGGAAAAAAGCCCTTGGAGAGAATTGTGGGCCACAGCCTGCTCCCACTGTTTTTGCATAGCCACAGTGAGAAGCGGCGTGTGGCACAGGTCAGGACTTGTGAGCTGCTGCTGCCTCCTGCCCTGGCGCCTCACGGGCTTCAGCCTCCTCAGGGCCTTGGCATGGAAACGCAGGTCCTGTGCCCTGGGCTGCAGTGCTATCTCTGGGTCTCTGCTGCTCTCCAGGCTGCTCGGGAAACGCTGCTTTGTGCGGCCAGGTTCCTGAAGAGGAGGGATCTGAAGCAGGTGCTGAAGAAGGAGAAGCTCCTGAAGTTCAGCAAGCGCCTGGTAAGGATGGCCTGGAAGCCCCAGTCTGAGCCCGGAGAAGCCCCCTGGCCGCGGCGCTCAGTGCCTGGGGCTGGCAGCTGTGTCCCTGCCCAGCGCTGCAATCAGGGGCACCGCGGCTCCCCGGGCAGCAGCCGGCCCTCTGCCCCCGCCAAAGCCCGGTGCCAGCGGCTGCCGGCCGCGCCTCAGGGTTGTGCGGGCAGGGGAGACCAGGGCCGGGCGCGGGCAGAGCCCGGCTGAGGGGCAGAGCCCGGCTGAGGGGCAGAGCCCGCGCCGACCCTTCCCTCCTGCTCTCTCTCTCTCCAGCTGGCAGAGGACCGGAGCCGAACGGCCGGGTACCTGAGCCAGGCACTGCCGTACGTGGAGAACCCGCAGGAGCCCGTGCGAGAGGCGGCCATCAGTTTTATCGGTGAGCCGGCAGCGGCATCCGGGCCCGCGGCTCAGGAGCCCCACCCGCCCTCGGGACCACTACTGCCACAAGGCGTGTGGCCACAGGGCTGGCAGCGCCACTCCGGGGGAGCTGTGCCGCTGGGGCCGTGACTCGCTCTGTGTTCCCAGGGTTGGCCGGTCGGTACCTGAAGGGTCAGYCMRGAGAGCTCCAGGTCCTCAATGAGGGTGAGTGAGAGCAGTGGGATGTCAGCGTGGGCTTGTGGGGGGAGCTGCCATCCCTGCCCCGGCTGTGAAAGGCTCTGCTCCCTGTGYGGATGAGCGGAGGCGGGGGCAGAGCACACAGAGATTTCAGGGACACATGGGGGATACGTGACTGCCACCTTCCAGCTGACCCCACCAGCTCCTTCTGTCCTGGCCATGTGAAGAGCTGGATCAGATGACCATGGCAGAACAATTGTGGTGTCCTCACAGTTCTGGGTGCTGACCCGTGGTAGCTCTTCTCTGTTCCAGCCCTTGAAGCATTGAACCAAGATGACAGCCCATCCTCCACTAACCTGGAAACTCGAGCAATTTTTAACCAAAGATCTGCAGAACTCACRTCATCTCCTGGATTCAGAGAACCAGTGTCCCAAGAAGACTACCTGGAGACAGAGAAGACTCCACTGTTCAATGCTACAGGAACTCCAGGCCGTGCTGATGCTGGGAACACCTGAGCCTGTGGGATGCTCCAGTAGCTCCTGCCTTCTCCCTTCCTGTTGACAGCTCCCTCCCTCCATTCCTCAGACCCTACCCATCCCCTTTTTTTTGACCCCCATGTCATCCCTTCGCTTCCCCCTCCATTAATAAACCATTTGATTTCTCCCCCTTACCTGCATCTCAGTGGAGCTGAAGTGACACAAAACCTGAGTCCTGGGACACGCAGACCTCTCCTGTTGTTCTCTTCTGCTGTGTTTTGTGCAGAGACACCGAGGAACAATTGCAGATCAAGCTGGAAAGGTCCCTGTCCTGAAGGTTCAGTTCCACAACACTGTGCACTTAAAGGTCTTGCTGAGCACACTGAAGGCCCTGGATTTTAGAAGAGCCAACTTGAGTGGGCTCTGAAGGCGTCTGTGAGGGATTCCATGGGTAGTATCYRCRGAGGRSCAAGGAGCTTGGAATGCTGCAAGTTTTCAAGAGTAGCTTCCTGAAAGCACAGCAATGCTCCATCCCTGCACAGGGACAGCAAGAGGGCAGAAGCAGCAACCATGSAGYTTAACAGGGAGCTGTGGATGTGCCCAAGAGCAAATGAAGCAGCAGCGCAGTGGCCCAGACTCGGACACGCGACCGTGCCAGCGTACGGAGCGCTGTCCAGGCAGTGCCGGATCCTGGCTGCGGTTCTGGTCCCCACAAGTGAGGAATTGCAGCCTCTGCCTCAGACCCAGTCAGAAAGCCAACAAAGTGAGACCAGAGGGAGGGGACCCTTCCAGTCTCTCTTGGGCAAGGCTGCAAAGCAGCCACTSCTGCTTCTTGCTGTGCCTGTGTTTGGTGTCTGCTGATCCCACAGCCAGCCTGGTGTGCTCTGTGTTCAAAGACTGTTCAGAGTGGGTGTGGAAAGTGGTGTGTGCACAGCCCAGAGCCCTGGAAGGGTATCCCGAGAGCATCCTGTGGGAACAAGGCTCTGGTCTCCAGCTGGGAACAGCCGGATTTTGCTACTGTGRCCGCAGGCAGATGAAAAGGCAGCGGGCAGCTTGTGTTCACAGAGAGCCTGGGGCTGTGCGTCTGAGCCTGCCGAGGCAGTTGAGTGCACAGCCTAAGGCTGAGGGGATGGGGTCCCAGTCCCAAGGACAAGGAGCGCACATGCCCAGCCCCACAACTCCTGGGCTCACCACTCTGAAAGGCTGGCGCAAGTGACAAATGCCTGATTTTGGGTGTTCCCTCCAACAGCCTGCTCAGGAAGATGCCTTGGGCAAACACCGAAGCTGCCGGGTTGCAAGAACAAGGTGGCTGCCTGGGGGCTGCTTCWGGCCTCTGACACCCAATTCCTCAGGGCTTCCCAGCAGCCCATCCCCTCAGGGGCCTCCTGTCCCCTTGGAGCCTCCTGCCACCCAGCCCCTCACACATCCCCCTCGTGCCTTCTCACTGCCTTGTCCCATCTGCGCCTCCGCAGCACCTCATCCCTGCACGGCCTCCCACCGCCCCATCCCCTCCGGATCTCCCCCAGCCCGGTCACCCTACCAGGCAGCGGCACAGCCCCGACAGAGCTCCAGAGAAGCCACATCAAGAGGCACCTGGGAGCCCTCAGCAATCCAGCCAGTAACACCGGGGCAGGACTCAGATGGTGATTCCTGGCTGTGAGAGGGGTTGTGGCCATCTCCAGGCACCAGTCTCGCAGGGATCCCCTCAGCTCTGGCCTGTGCCCACTCGCTCTGTCAGAAGTGTTAAGGCTTCAGCACAAGCACCAAAGGTCAAGGGGGTTCTGGCCACCTTCCCATTCCACACTGCAGGCCTGGGCAACTTGCTGAGCACGAGCACCCGTTTTCCCCTCTTCCCCTGTGCCCTGCGAACGCTGGACACCAAAAGAAAGCTCCTGGCAGTCTGTGTTTTAGAATACATGATTTATTTACTTAACAAAGAAAGAAGGAAAAAGAAGAAGAATCTTGGCTCAGGTGGCCCCAGCAGATCGAGCCTAACACTTCAGCTCTCTGCAGAGCTCCAGCAGCTCAGACAGGCACAGCTCCACAGACGAGGCCATGCMTTCCATGCCCTGTGGAGTTGATCTTGCAGATTGTGGAAGACAGAGTACGGAGTTCTTTCCACTGCCCTGAGTACATATAATGTTTGAAGGGCAAGGTTTGAAACTGCATTGCTGTCGTCAGCTGTTGTGCGTTCAAGGGCTGGAAGAGAGAGGAAGAGAGCCACGGTCATATCTTCGATCTGTGGGGACAAAAGGGGGCCACCCTGCCAGGGCCATCCCTAGCCACATCTTCCCATGGTCAGGGAGAAGCAGGAAATGATGGCATGAGTCGGAAGGTGCTGGCCAGGAATCCCCCACGTGTCCCTGAAATCTCTGTGTGCTCTGACCATGCCCCCCTCGTCCGCACAGGGAGCAGAGCCCTCCTCACCCGCGGCAGGGATGGAAGCTCCCTCTGCCAGCCCCCGCTCACAGCCCGCTGCTCTCACTCACCCTTGCACAGAAGCTGCAGCTCTTCCTGCTGCCCCCTCAATCTCCGCCCGACGATCCCTGGGAACACAGAGTGAGTCACGGCCCGAGCGGCACAGCTCCCCCGGAGTGGCACTGCCATCCCTGTGGCCACACGCCCTCATGCCCCGGCAGGACTCATCCTGGGCCCTCGCCGCACCCTGACGCCCAAGGGCACGGCTGCGAGAGTCGGGCAGCAGCGGCCCGCGAGCTCGTGGCTCACCAATGAACCTGACGGCCGCCTCTCGCAGGGTCTCCTGTGGGCTCTGCAGGTACGGCAGGGCATGGCGCAGGTGCTCGACCTCT